CTTCAAAAGTTCTCACTGGACCATAGGGGTTTTCAGGTGGTCCAAAGTTGCATGGGTTCTCACTTTACAAACTTTTGGAATCGTTGGAATCTGATGGAATTCATCATGATCTAAAATTTTCCAAGTGCCAGACTTTGTTCTCTCTCATGGAATCCTTGGAGTCAGTGGTAATGCTTCAAAAGTCTTCACTAGACCAAAGGGGTTTTCTTTAGGTCCAAAGTTGCATGGGTTCCCACTTTACAATCGTTTGGAATCCTTGGATTCTGATACAATTCATCATAATCTACAATATTCCAAGTCCCACACTTTGTTGTCTGTCATGGAATCCTTGGAGTCAGTGGTAATGCTTCAAAAGTCCTCACTAGACCATCGAGCTTTTCTGGAGGTCCAAAGCTGCTTGGGTACTCACTTTACAATCTTTTGGAATCCTTGGAATCTGATACAATTCATCATGATCTACAATAGTCCAAGTGCCAGACTTTGTTGTCCCTCATGCAATCCTTGGAGTCAGTGGTAATGCTTCGATAGTCCTATCGAGACCACAGAGGTTTTCTGGAGGTCGGAAGTTCCACAAGTTCTCACTTTGCAATCTTTTGGAATCCTTGGATTCTGATAGAATTCATCATGATCTACAATAGTCCAAGCGCTAGACTTTGTTGTCCCTCATGCAATCCTTGGAGTCAGTGTTAATGCTTCGATAGTCCTATCGAGACCATAGAGGTTTTCTGGAGGTCCGACGTTGCACGGGTTCTCACTTTAATATCTTTTGGAATCCTTGGAATCTGATAGAATTCATCATGATCTACAATATTCCAAGTGCCAGACTTTGTTGCCTCTCACGAAGTCCTTGAAGTCGCCGGTAATGCTTCAAAAGTCCTCACTAGACCATAGGGGTTTTCTGGTAGTCCAAAGTTGCATGGGTTCTCACTTTACAAACTTTTGGAATCCTTGGAATCTGATGGAATTCATCATGATCTAAAATTTTCCAAGTGCCAGACTTTGTTCTCTCTCATGGAATCCTTGGAGTCAGT